AGGCAGCTTAACCGTGCAACATACTGAGGCACCGATAAAGTCAATTGAGTTGCAGCTAGTGCGTGTGGAAACTTGTGGTTGTGACGAGGGCTACTCCAAGGATGCCACTGAAGTGCAGACTATACAAATTGCCGATGGCAATGTCATACCCAAACTGGAAATACCAATATATATGGTGCTCCCGCGTTTATTTACCTGTCCCACTCTCTTAACTAAGAACTTTAAAATTGGTAAGCTTTTGGTCTTCAGTTTCTATTATAAATATAATATATTTCAATACTTTCAGAGTTCGAGCTCAATTTAGTGGTGCTGTTCAAAGAGGAGCACACAGTTAGCGAAAACTTTAAAATTGTTTTAAAACGCGCTACGGGTCCTTTGCCTAGCAAAATAACAACAGCAGGCCGCTGAACAGCATCGAATAATATTGAAATACTACTATATACAATACTGCTTAGGGACTAGTTATTTTTGACTAGACCTCAACTGAGTGGAGTGAATAGCATATAGTTTCCAAATTGTAAGCAATATATGCTCTATATCTCGAAACTATCTATGAAAATAAATAGTTAACTATAAACTGAATTGATTTCAAAGATTGCGCGTCTACTTAGCGTTGCCACCTATTCAACAGCCTGCAGCTGAAAAACGACCTAAAAAATGACAAGAAAACAAATCTTTCAATTTCCTTTTGGTGGCCAAATAAAAAAAACGGAAAGAAATTTGAATGTCCCTAATACGCATTGATGATGATGAGTAAATAAAAGCTTTTTTCTTTCAATATTTTCAATATTGCTGTTATGTTTAGCATGTGCAGGTAAGTATTTATGTAACAGTAATTCCCTATTTTACTTTGCTCGAATGCCGCCATCTTTTGTTTTCCACTTGATTATTATCTTTCAATTTACAACAGCTGCCAAAACAAACTTTACCTGAGGCAATTTCACTGAAATAATATTCGAGTTTGTCTGTGTGTGTATTACTATACTATAAATGGATATATATATATTTTGGGAGTTTTAAGATAGCACCTTCTTTATTATTCTTATATTTCGAGATTCTGTTGCTGTTGGTGCTGCGACCGGTAAGTGCATATCAATTTCCTGCTTTGCCTCGTTGCAAAAACTTTAAATCTTTAATAATATCCATATATACATACATACGTGTGCTTGAGTGTGTCTTCATCAGCGTGCGGTTGTATTACTGCTCCCACTCCCACATACATACATACATATAAGTATAGCTTTTTATGTCTGTACCGGTAAGCTACATACATACGTTTCCACCTACCGACAAATATAAATTACTTAGCATACATGCACAGACATACTTACAAATATATATGTATATAATGGCGTGTTCTCTTATTTTTAGGGTGTTACAAGTGTAAGACAAGTATTTCGGCCAGCTCTTTTACATTCGATATACTTTGTATAAATATTGCAAACTACACACATACCCCGTCGCAGCCATATACAGATATATGTATGGGAAGCCAACGCAAATTTCAAGTTCACTAAATTATGTACATACATGCACATATATTGTAAGTACACACACATACATATGTATATACACATGCCCATACATACATATATTTATTCAACTTGGCGGCGTAACTTTCATCTAGTGTTGCCAGCTTTTGTGCTCCGAAATAAGTTGGATGGTGGATAAAATTAGGCCAAAACAGGCTAAAATATAAGGAAAATGGTGAATTAGCGGGCTAGATGAATAGTGGAAAAAAAAGTATTTCCTCTAAG